TACTGCTAATTGTGTATATAAATCACGTGACAGAGAGACCTTGTTCACTGCTGATATGAATCTAATGAGAATACAAGCATAGGCATACAACGATATGTATACAAGGATGTGGAACAAAGATGTGGCTACGGGGGTATGTATACTATGATATGGAACAAGGATAGATAGAAGGATAATGGTTTATTACGTGTGTGTATATGTATATATATATATATATTATATATATATATATATATATATATATATATATTATATATATATATATATATATATATATATATATATATATATAAAGAGAATGTGTGTTTCTCCCACAGTTGTGGTGGTGCTGGGAGCAGCGACGTCTGCTGACAGGGTGAGTAACGTGTGGGTACCACGACTCTTCACAGGCATGTCTTGAGGCTGGTGGTGATCCGTACAAGTTAAGCGCTTACCAGTGAACACTGAACTTGTTGAAAAAACAGGTCTTGTTCAGTCAATATACTTCTACTAATAATAATATTCCTACCAGTACATTATGCAACTTATACATACCATAGCTGACACCTATGACATATAGAAAGTTCCTGGTTATGTAGAGCATTTCCCACAACTTGGGTTAATTTTGTCCCCAGGATGCCACCCACACCAGTCACCTAACACCCAGGTACCTACTTACTGCTAGGTGAACATGGACAGCAGGTGTCTTCGGAAAAACATCCTAATGTTTTCACCCGTACCGGGGATCGAACCACGGGCCTCAGTGTGTGAGGCAAGTGCGCTACCAACCCAGCTACGGGACATAAGTTATTATCCCTCAATAATAAAATTTTAGACAATAGGAGCCTAACATACAAGAATAATTAATTTTTATAACAACAGAGTCAAACTGACCTTCTTTTCCAGTACAGCTTCTGAGACTCGACCTTGCCATGGTCCGCAGGTCAAAGATAAACTGACCTTCCACTAAGACTTCTGATACTCGACCTTGCCATGGTCCGCAGGTCAAAGATAAACTGACCTTCCACTAAGACTTCTGATACTCGACCTTGCCATGGTCTGCAGGTCAAAGATAAACTGACCTTCCACTAAGACTTCTGAGACTCGACCTTGCCATGGTCCGCAGGTCAAAGACAAACTGACCTTCCACTAAGGTTTCTGAGACTCGACCTTGCCAAGGTCCGCAGGTCAAAGATAAACTGACCTTCCACTAAGACTTCTGAGACTCGACCTGGCCATGGTCCGCAGGTCAAAGATAAACTGACCTTCCACTAAGACTTCTGAGACTCGACCTTGCCATGGTCCGCAGGTCAAAGACAAACTGACCTTCCACTAAGACTTCTGAGACTCGACCTTGCCATGGTCCGCAGGTCAAAGACAAACTGACCTTCCACTAAGACTTCTGAGACTCGACCTTGCCATGGTCCGCAGGTCAAAGACAAACTGACCTTCCACTAAGACTTCTGAGACTCGACCTTGCCATGGTCCGCAGGTCAAAGATAAAGGTTTGTGTCCACAGGGTACAATGTCTGTACAGAGATGGGTGACATCCGGGTGTACTAACAGAAAGTTCGTGGTTTTGCGGAGCATTTCAGACAAAGGGTTTAACATATAAATAGCAGTTTAACTTATAAACCAAACTAATGCACAACATTCCTTTTCCACAGTTAAAACTGCTGTTTTAACTATTAGTTTACCTTCGTACAGACAGGTCATTTTTATTCAGTCAGGTGAGTGATAGAAGTCAGTCAGGTTATTATTTTTGAACTGTGAGGCACTACAAGGAACACTTGTACACAGGTGTAATTTTGTTTAGGCACAGGTACACATAATTACTATTATCATACATAGTAATGAATGTCAAAGTGACTTATTTCTATTGGGATTCTTGTATTTCCACCGAAGCCCTTATATTTCCACTGGGATCCTTATTTCCATTTGGATCCTTGTATTTCCATTGGGGTTCTTGCTTCCACTGGGATCCTGGTATTTCCATTGGGGTCCTTGCTTCCACTGGGATCCTGGTATTTCCGCTGGGATCCTTGTATTTCCATTGGACTCCTTACATTTCCATTGGAGTCCTTGTATTTCCACTGGAGTTCTTAAATTTCCATTCGGTCCTTACTTCCATTGGGGTCCTTGTTATTTCCTCTGGTGCACTGTCAGCCACAGCACCGTGTCTTCCTTTGCAGATGACATCCGAATCTGCATGACAGTGTCCTCCATTGCAGACACTGCAAGGCTCCAGGCGGACATCAACCAAATCTTTCAGTGGGCTGCAGAAAACAATATGAAGTTCAACGATGAGAAATTTCAATTACTCAGATATGGTAAACACGAGGAAATTAAATCTTCATCAGAGTACAAAACAAATTCTGGCCACAAAATAGAGCGAAACACCAACGTCAAAGACCTGGGAGTGATCATGTCGGAGGATCTCACCTTCAAGGACCATAACATTGTATCAATCGCATCTGCTAGAAAAAATGACAGGATGGATAATGAGAACCTTCAAAACTAGGGGGGCCAAGCCATGATAACACTCTTCAGGTCACTTGTTCTATCTAGGCTGGAATATTGCTGCACACTAAAAGCACCCTTTTAAGGCAGGTGAAATTGCTGACCTAGAAATGTACAGAGAACCTTCCTGGCGCGCATAAAAGGAGAATAAAAACACCTCAAATTTCTGGGAGCGCTTGAGGTTCCTGAACCTGTATTCCCTGGAACGCAGGAGGGAGAGATACATGATTATATACACCTGGAAAATCCTAGAGGGACTAGTACCGAACTTGCACACAAAAAGCTCACTACGAAAGCAAAAGACTTGGCAGACGATGCAACATCCCCCCAATGAAAAGCAGGGGTGTCACTAGCACGTTAAGAGACCATACAATAAGTGTCAGGGGGCCCGAGACTGTTCAACTGCCTCCCAGCATACATAAGGGGGATTACCAACAGACCCCTGGCAGTCTTCAAGTTGGCACTGGACAAGCACCTAAAGTCGGTTCCTGACCAGCCGGGCTGTGGCTCGTACGTTGGTTTGCGTGCAGCCAGCAGTAACAGCCTGGTTGATCAGGCTCTGATCCACCAGGAGGCCTGGTCACAGACCGGGCCGCGGGGACGTTGAGACCCCCGGAACTCTCTCCAGGTGACTCCAGGTGAACTGTCCATAACCTGGTTCGGTAAAAAGAAACTGGACTGACAGCTACTGGATTCTGTAAGATAATGTTCTGAGTACATATGAAGGGAACTTCCAGACACTGGCGTTGTGTTTTCTCTCTTTGATAACCACTCTTGGAGTTATTCCAGGACCTCCAGTGTTCATTATAATCACAAAGAAGCGCTAAACTCACTAGGGTCATACAACACTGCCCTCCGTTGTTCATTCTTGTCTCTTTGTGTAGTCCAGGAGTGATTCCAGGATGGTCATCCAGAGAGAACACAACACAGATGATTGGCTACTGCTCTGGTGCATATATAGAATGCTATCCAACAGAATCAGCAAGGATATGACAATGGCGTACAATCCTACAGTTAGGTTTTTTATCCGAAAGTTTGCCCTAGTTTTCCCCTCTGATAAATAAAAAACTGTAACCCGGGTTTCCTTCACCCCTCTGGGGGGAAACACCGAACCAACTTGAAATTGTCTTCCATAATCCCCAAGGATTTACCCAAAATTGATTTAAGGTCCTGCCCAGCAAAACATGGAAAGAGATGCCCTAACCCTTTCAACCTGTGTCCAATCAGATCACCAAGGCCCCGCAGTTTAAGCCAAAACTATGTGGTTACCGGTCCTTTGATAACCGGAGGGTTTCCCAAAACGAGCCGGGGGGGTTGCCCCCTGAACACTTTCAACGGTTTCGGTGTAAACAATTAAAGGGTCACGCCAGGGCACAGCATCGGGTCACCAATGAAAAGTGCACAGCCAACAGGGACCCAGGGACCCCGGACCGCCAAGGGACCGTATAAACAAAAGGGAAAAGGGAACAACCAACACAGGGGACAAAAAAAGGGAGGACAAAACGGGACAAAAAAGAGAGGAAGAACAAGGGGAAAAAAAGGGGACAAAGCCAAGGGGACACAGCAACAAGGGGACAAAAGCAACAAGGGGCACAGGGGACCAAGGGGGACACAGCAACAAGGGACAAAGCAACGGGGGTAAACGGGGCAAACCAAGGGACAAGCACACAAGGGGCACAGCAACAAGGGACTTTGCAAAAGGGGTCACAGCAACAAGGGACATAGAAAAAAAAGGGGTCACAGCACCAAGGGAACAAGAAAAGGGGTCACAGCAACAAGGTGACACAGCAACAAGGGGACATAGCAACAAGGGGTCACAGCACCAAGGGAACACAGAAACAAGGGGTCACAGCAACAAGGTGACACAGCAACAAGGAGACATAGCAGCAAGGGGTCACAGCACCAAGGGGACACAGAAACAAGGGGTCATAACTAGAAGTTGAAGACATAGATGAGTCACAGGGATGTTAGGAAGTATTTCTTCAGCCACAGAGTTGTCAGGAAGTGGAAGAATCTGAGAGTGAAGTAGTGGAGGCAGGATCCATACATAGATTTAAGAAGAGGCATGATAAAGCTAATGGAGCAGGGAGAGAGTGGGCCTAGTAGCGACCAGTGAAGAGGCGGGGCCAGGAGCTGTGAATCGACCCCTGCAACCACAATTAGGTGAAACATTTGAGTACACATACATATTATTACGTAAGCACATGAAGGCGTACAAAAATTACGATTTTGTGAATTAATAATAGTAGCGCACTCAGCTCACACACTGAGGGTCCATAGTTCGATTCCCGGTACGGGTGGAAACATTAGGACGTGGTTTTTAACCCCGGGTTACGCAGCAGAGTAACCGGGTTAGGTGCGTTGGGTGGCAATTTTCCTTGGGCAAAATCCAGTTGTGGAAAGTCGCAAACAAAGGACTTTCTTAAGTAAAACAAAGGTGTAAATAGGTCGAAATTTTCAGGAAAAAACATTTTTACTTTTTTCCCCAGGCCGGGGGAAACATGGGGGTGGGTTATTGGGGGGTATGGTACGGGTTGTGGGCGGATGGGTGGTTTGGCGGTGTGAACGTCCTCCTGGCGGGTAATGGCGGGTATGGGTACTTAAACCCGGGTGGCAGATCCCATGTGCTCAATGCAGCAGGCTTCCCGTTCGAGCCCTCCACGTATGGTGCCCAGCAACAATGGTATTACCATGCTGCTTTGGCCGCAGGGGATCCCTATGCTGCGAAGTCCGTCGGCGGGGGGAACTACGCTATCCAGACGGCGGATGCGTCTGCCGCGAGCGCCGCTCACGGCGTTATAGCGCAAGCTAACGATCCCAACATCGCTAACACAGTCAACTACCTCACAGATCATGCCGACTCAGCCTCTCTCAATGCCGCAGCTCATCATGGTGCCGCATATGTTGCACAGAAAGCTGGCTTGTACCACTAACACCTTCGAATTGTACCACTAACACCAACGCCCCGATCTGCTCTGCAACCACCTCCCCAGGAAAGAAAACACAGGGTGTTCTGTGTGGAACAAGCCACGTCGGGATGGAAATCTTCAACATCTTGCACTCTCGTGCGTCGTCAGGGGCTACGCAATGTTGCAAAACTAGCAACAGAGAGAAAACTCTCTCTGAGGCAAGGCAGAAGTGTTAATCGTCCGGCCAAGTCGAAGTGGAGTCTTCTGTATATTTGGAACCATAGTGTATAGCAGCATTTAAGACCTCTATAATTCTCTTCACAGTGTACGTGTTGTCTGGATTACTTTGCATTTGTGTGTCGACAATAATGGGCAATAAAAGTCTTTATTATAGCCGCCTCTTTATTTACCCTGTGGTTTCTGAGTTAGGATTTTCTTCGGGTTTTTTACCCCGGAGGGTCAGCCACCCAGGATAGAACAGGGGAGGGTTAGCCACCCAGGATAACCCAGGGAAGGGTTAGGCACCCAGGATAACCCAGGGGGGGTCAGTCACCCAGGATAACCCAGGGGAGTGTTAGGCACCCAGGATAACCCAGGGGAGGGTCAGCAACCCAGGATAACCCAGGGGAGTGTTAGCCACCCAGGATAACCCAGGGAAGTCAGTGGGTCATCTAGGACTGTCTTATTTCCATTGTGATCCTTCAATCTTGTCCCCCAGGATGCCACCCACACCAGTCACCTAACATCCAGTTACCTACTTGCTTGCTAGGTGAACAGAGATAGCAGGTGTAATGAGTTAGTTTAATATCTTTATTATGCACCCCATAACCATCCTGTGGGCGGTAGTCAAAAGATTACAAAGGTACATAATGGTTCCAGAGACTGAACCCCAAAGTTATGATAGCTGAACTAGTTAGAAAGGTAATGAACTCCAGGTGTAATGATAATGTGCAAATTGTAGGTGACCTTGAACCCCCACATATCTATGGAGGCGTCGTTGATCTGTATCTTGGCTTCAACATTACTTCTGCCAGCTGTGAGTCTTCCATTGTAACAGATATATCATCAGATCATTTCCCTAGGCTAACCTCACTAGATATTGGTAATACTATCCTTCCTGGTGGGATTTTCAAATGGAAACGTTTTAATGTTCCCACTGATCAGCATGATGACTTTGTTGCACATGTGACTGACTGGTATAATTCCTATGAGTGTTCCTCTGTAGAGACCTTTAACAATGACCTTGTGAGCAGTATTCAGAACTACTTAGAGCCGCCACTGAACCTCTTGGTGACTCTAAACCCAACAAACTTCCATAATAATCGTACCTCCTTCAAAAACCATACTTATTACAATGATTCTAAACTTCGTACACTGAAACGTACTGCTCGCAGACTAGGCCTAGCCTATAGAAAACATCGTACCCCTGGAATGCTGAGGCTCTTCCAAACTGCCCTTGCTGCTGCCAGAGAGCGTATGACAGAGCTGCGGCAGACTGGGAATAACTTGTGAGTTCATTACCTTGTACCTAGTTCAGCCATCAAAACTTTGGAGCCCGGTCCCTGGACCCATTGTGTACCTCTGTAATCTGTAAATACCTTTGTAACTTGTCATGATTGTGACTAGACCTACCTGGAGTTCATTACCTTTGTAAATTGTGAGTTCATTACCTTTGTAAATTGTGAATTCATTACCTCTGTAACTTGCTCAGCTATCAAAACTCTGAGGCCCAGTCCCTGGACCAATTATGTACCTCTGTAATCCTTTGACTACCGCCCACAGGATGGGTATGGGGTGCATAATAAACATATTAAACTAAAGACTGGGAAAAATTTGTCAACGGTCTCAATGCTCACACCCCACTTAGCTGGGCATGGAGGGACATAAATAGAATTAAGGGTAACAGAACTGGGCAGATCGGGCACCCTCATCCCTTACATAGGGCGAATGAGTTAGTCAGTGCTTGGGCTGCTACATCTAGCTATGACAATCTTCCCAGTACCACACAGGCACAATTAATGGACAAATATGATGCAAGGGAGAGACTTGTTTGCTTTATGCTCAGCAAGGCAGATGACTGCAACATTCCTTTCACTAATTATGAACTTGATGCAGCACTAACTAAGGGCAACTCCACATCGCCTGGTGAGGATGGTATTACAACATACTCAGATTGCTGTGTCGAGTACCAGGTAATCCATTACTTGAATTATATAACATGAGTTATGTCACTGGGGAGCTCCCTAAATCATGGACCAATAGCCTCGTTATTCCCATTCCGAAGCCCAGTCAACAAAACTCATTTCGCCCAATATCCCTTACTAGCTGCTTGTGTAAAACATTCAAAAGGATGATTCTTAATCGTCTTATGCACAGAATTAAGGAATTCTTGTCTCCCCGGTTACATGGTTTCATGCATGGAAGGAGCGTGCATCATTGCATTACCACCTTTCTCACCCTGCACACTGACAGCTCATACACTACCTTCCTTGACCTTAAATCCGCTTTTAATGTAGCCAACAGACATGTAATCATTAGTGAACTTGTCAGAATGGATGTTGGAGGATGGCTTCTCCGCTGGATTAAAGGTTACCTGTCCAACAAAAAGTCGTCTGTGTTGTTCCAGGGACATAGAAGTGTAACTAAAGATTTTGAATTAGGAACCCCACAGGGAGGTGTGCTTAGTCCCACCCTTTTCAACATTTTGATTAATGCCTTACTTAATGCCATGCCTAGCCAGCCTCATCATTATATGGTTAGTTTTGCTGATGACATAATGATTCACACCACCGGATTCTCCAACACCCAAAACATTCTTAATCATGTACTAGCCTCGTGTCAGGACCTGGGGTTGATAATCTCTACTGATAACACAAAGATACTCAACAGGCGTCCTCCTCGACAGTGAGGCACAGTTCTTCAGATCCAGTTGCATGATGGGTCTCTTCTAGAATATGTAAGCAGATACAGGTATCTAGGCTTTGAGGTTCCACTACTTGGACCTGTTGTAACAATACATAGAAAGGCTATGAGCACTTAGAGTTGTGGCTGGGTTTCACCCCAGGTATGGTGTTAATGTTACAATTGTGAAAATGATGTATCTTGTCTATATTAGATCATTGGTTGATTATGCTGCACCACTACTTGCTCTAGTGTCTGACTGGAAGCTTGGAGGGCTGGAAAAACTGCAAAACGAAGCAATGAGGATCATCCTAGGATGCCTAGCACTGCCAAAATTTTAAATATGCAAAAAGAACTTGATATTCCAAGCATCAGAGATCGTGTTACTGAAAGAAATATCATAATTGGGGTTAATATGCTCAGGCAAGCTCGTTCAAACCCCTGCACAGAAGCCCTCCAAACTTTCCTCAGCACTGGTGAACACTCCTCCAGATGGATCGAAAAAACTGGAACCGACCTCCGCATGAATCAGATACATGATCTATGTCAAGTAAGGCAACAGCGGCACTTCTCCACTCCATGGAATATTACCCCATTCCAAACTACCATTCCTCCATTTCCCCCCAAACTACTTCTTAAATCACAACCAAAACTTCGCCTTGAAGCCAAACATGAGGCCTTAAGCTGTATTGATAACTTAGTCACACAGCACACACTCTCGCAAATTATTTACGTTGATGGTTCTGTTCACCAATCCACTGTGCAGCTGGTAGTGCTGCTGTTGTCGTACACTGGTGCAGCTGGTAGTGCTGCTGTTGTCGTACACTGGTGCAGCTGGTAGTGCTGCTGTTGTCATACACTGGTGCAGCTGGTTGGGTAGTAGCTGCTGTTGTCATACACTGGTGCAGCTGGTAGTGCTGCTGTTGTCATACACTGGTGCAGCTGGTAGTGCTGCTGTTGTCATACACTGGTGCAGCTGGTAGTGCTGCTGTTGTCGTACAGAGTGATGGCTCTCTTAAAGAAATTGGAGCACGCATCAATAATTGGGCCTCTACCCTTCAGACAGAACTGTTTGCCATACTCCTTGCACTGAAATGCATCTATGTATCAAAGATTGACAGTTTAATTGTAACTGATTCTCTGTCATCCATAAATGCTCTCAACTCATTAAGCCTAAATTGTGGCATGCTTGTGTCAGAAGCCAGACACAGGTATGGTAAGATTGTGGACAGTGGAGTCAGAGTGCACATGCTGTGGATTCCATCTCACATTGGTCTTCAGATGCATGATAGAACTGATAAATTGGCTAAGCTGTATGCTTTCAAAGAGGGAGTAGATTACAATCTTGGCTTGTCAGGTAGTAGTTTGAGAACAATAATACGAAAAGAACTTCAAATGAACTTTATTGACTTAAGACTTAGGGAGATTGACACAAGTCAGTCCATCTATCATCATTCTATCATGCAGGAGGAGCCACATGTCTATGGTGCATCCAACAAAATAAGCAGACTCTTGGATGTCACTACCGCCCGGCTCCGGCTGTCACTACCGCCCGGCTCCGGCTGGGTTACAAGTATCTTTGGCAGGTTAAATCATCACCACCAGATGTAGACCAAACGAAATGTAAACTTTGCCAGATGGACTATTGTCACACCTGCGTCATTATGTCTGGTGTGTCACCCTGCGTCATTAGACTGGAGTGCGTCACACCCTGCGTCTTATTATGGATCGTCACACCCTGCGTCATGTGTACTGAGTGTCACACCTTGCGTCATTATGTACTGGAGTGCGTCACACCCCGTCATATGACTGAGGATCAATTAATGAATTTAGAAACAACTCACTCAGAAGTGTTCAAGAAATGGCAAAGTACTTTATCCACAGTGGTATATTACAGACCATTCTGGAGTCTGTGTGTGTTGTTGTGTGTGTGTGTGTGTGTGATGTGTGTGTGTGTGTGTGTGTGTGTGTGTGTGTGTGTGTGTGGTGTGGTGTGTGGTGTGTGTGAGTGTGGTGTGTGTGTGTGTGTGTGTGTGTGTGTGTGTGTGTGTGTGTGTGTGTGTGGTGTGTGTGTGTGTGTGTGGTGTGTGTGTGGTGTGTGTGTATGTGTGTGTGTGTGCATTGTGTGTGTGTGTTGTGTGTGTGTGTGTGTGTGTGTGTGTGTGTGTGTGTGTGTGTGTGTGTGTATGTGTGTGTGTGTGCTGTGTGTGTGTGTGGTGTGTGTGTGTGTGTGTGTGTGTGTGTGTGTGGTGTGTGTGTGTTGTGTGTGTGGTGTGTATGTGTGTGTGTGTGCATGGTGTGTGTGTGTGTGTGTGTGTGTGTGTGTGTGTGTGTGTGGTGTGTGTGTGTGTGTGTGTGTGTGTGTGTGTGTGTGTGTGTGTGTGTGTGTGTGTGTGTGTGTGTGTACTCACCTAATTGTACTCACCTAATTGTGGTTGCAGGGGTCGAGACTCAGCTCCTTGC